CAAATACAAAAGATCTACAAGAACCTCATCAAGAGATTTTACTAACCAATGGTGGTAACTTAACATGTTTTGGACTTCAGTGCTACTCAAGATCCTAATCAGATCTTTTAATTCCCTTTCAACGGCAGCTTTCTCCATGACTATAAATCACATGTTGTGTATTTCCAGATCCACTTAAACATCTATTAGCATAAGTTCTGATGAGAAATTTCTTGAGAAAAAGAAAAGACCAAGTTCAAGTCATAAGCAGAGCAGAGAATACCATATGACTTCAGTTATGCACACGCGTAAGTCATCTGCGGAACAGAACCAGTTAATCAAGTACTTAAATTAGATATTAAGCTCTCTATATTTTAACTGCTTTACTTGTAAAAATAAGTTTAGCACTGTATGTGACTAAGAATATTGTTTCTCTCAAAATTCTTCTGAAGTGAACTAAAAGCAGTATTAATGTAGGGATGTGTCACTAAAACTGTATTGGGGAAAGAAAGTTTCTGAACTGTTTTCTCTCAGAAACACATTTTTTGTTTTAGAACAAACATTTTCACACTAAAGTTTTGGTTCTCTTTTAAGTTTAGTTTTTCTTTGCCTTGAGTTTTTTTTTGGCTTGCATTATATTTAAAAAATTAGAAAAGCCCTCACATAATGGCAAAGGAAGCAAAAGATTCACACAGGGCACAGGGACAGTTTTCTAGTTAAAAAACATATTGAGCTTTGCAATATCAGACCCAGACAGAAGCAAAGTAGAAAAAAAATTAAAACAATATGTGAGATAGGAATCTTTAATCAACCTTGTTGTATCAGCCGAAGCCTAGCATTCCACCCGGTCTTCTGGGGTTACCCAGCACCACTTTGAAAACGGATTACTTTCCACAGAAAGTAATGCCAAAAAGGAGCTTTAGTTCTCCTGTGGGAAATTAGAACAGCCTGGATCATCAAATGGGAAAAAATAATCATTATCAGTAGCACTCAGAAATGGGGGCATGGGGGGGAAGGTGAAACTAGACTGCAGTTCTGGAGCACTTCATGCCTTACACATGCAGCCAAAGACCACTGCAAAGCAGCAAATGCCTGTGGGTTTGAGATGCTGAAGAGCTTTTGCTTCCTCTAGCGGACAACAGGCACACCTGGGTTTGCTCTAGAGCTTTTGCTGTATACATGCTTTGCTGTAAACACACAGAAACTAATCCTGGAGAGGCACTGAACTTGGATACTTTTCTATGGACAATTCAGGTAAACACAGATGCATTTAGAAGTTATCAACCTGTGCACACTAACAGATTAAAAAAATACATTAAAAGGACTCAGTAAAGCTGAGCACAGGTCTTTAACTTGGAGTCCCTTATCTTAGGTAGGAGAAATTTCTCAGTGCTCCCTGCTGTCCACATCACCCACGGACTCCACAAAGGAGTGTCCAACATGGAGCTCTGTGGTGCCAGCTGCCAGAGTGAGTATAAATCCCAGTCCCCTCTAAAACCAGGCTAAATATAACTTGCAATTTGAAACAAAAGCTTACTTCTAACCTCAGCAACACTAAATAAACAGCTGTCACAGCCCCAAGAAAGTGGCAGAGTATCATTTCCCAGATGCTACGAAGTTGAACCGAGATTTACATTACTGCAGTTATGGCAAGATCCTTAATAAGTTTGTTTATTTATTTATTTATTTATTTATTGGGGGGGTTAAGAAATTCTGAAAGCAGTGTTAGGTAGAATTCATTGACCCTTTTTATATTTTTATTGTGGGCATAGCGGATTCAATCAAAATATCTTGAATCAATGTTCCAAGCTAGCAACGAATGAGAAAGCAAAATTTGGTTGACATGGATATTTCCTACATACAGAACTTTCAGTCTGTATAATGTGACCAGGTCCCACTTTTGTACTACTGCAGTAGCACACTACTGACTTCAGTTATGGATTAAAGATCCCTAAAACCCTACAAACCTACAATTAAGTACATACTTGAATGCTTTGTTCAGCACACAGATTGCTGAATTGCTGCCTCTATAATTAATTATGAAATACTAGTGATATACACTTAAGTTGGGAGTATGTGCTAAATGCTCTATGCCAAGAATCTATGAGCAGCTGATGATTGGCAAGGGATCTACAGCCAATGTGCAGAAAGGAAATCCCACTGCCACGGTCACATGGTCGCTGGACATGTCTTGCAACAGAAGACAGTGGTCCTATGCGTTTGAGGTTTGGTGCCAGATGCTCTCCCCTTTAAATAGCATGGCAGAGCAACAGCGCTGTTAACTTATTTCCAGTTTAGCACCCTTTTCTGCCACTATTGAATGTGAAGATTAATCTAAGATTAAGCTTCTCCCTCTTTTCAGTTCCTCACCCTGCCAGCAAAGGTGCATTTACCGAGTGAAAGAGCAGCAGTATCAGCGCAGCCGATGCTGCTGCAATTTCAGCCATCTCTCTAGCAACTAAGTTCAAAGCAAATTTTCACAACACATTGTTACAATTACCAACCAATGTCTGGTAAAACAACTACATAAGCCTCTACTGATGCTTTGAGAGTTAAACCCACAACAGAATTAACAAGAGGGCAAAATATAATGGCCACCATCAATACTGGCCTTCCTTAAATCATTTATGTTCATTCTTTTTGGCCAATTTCACTTCTAATTCTCTCCCCTGTTCGCCTGTCTCTGTGCAAAAGCATCAGTGTGTGTCCAGAGTGAACGTGGAGGCAGGTGCCAAAAGAATAGCTGCTGCATGCCTGACTGTGACAAACCCTAATGTCCTCTGCTGAATGTGTGTCCTGGGGTGGAAAAGCAAATGCAGCAATGTACTAATCTTAGTCAGCAATGGAGAAAGAACCAGCAGCCCTATATATACAGAGCAGAGCATGGAAGAGTAAAGGGTCAGAACCATTACAAAATTTGTCAAAAATAATCTGTAGCAGAACAGATTTAACCATCTCTACTGCTGAGTTTATTAAATCTCTTCGGAGCTTTTGAGAAGAAACTACATGTCTAGCCAGAGCTGCAGCAGCTGAATGATTGTATTCCTTCTGTTTCCTCTTAAGGGGATTTGTCCTCATACTTAATTGGCAATTTTACTATTTCTTTTTGTTTAGCAGCATTCACAGATTTTTCCCTTTCGTGGCTGCAGAGAAAGAACCAACATAGCAGGGCTGTGCATTAAGACTATAGGTATGTTGCAAATTCCACAGATTCAATTTTCACAGAAAGTCAAAGCCACCTTTAAGGGTATAAAGCAGCTGTCACACCATGCGTTCTGATAGCAAGCTTGCCATACTTTCGATTAGTTTTGGAACACAGATGGGGACTTAGCTCTCTTCCAACACATTCAAATAATAATGAAAAAGTAACTTTGATGCTACCTGAAACCCAACTATTCAAAGTCCATTGCCCGCATTCCTTAGCTGCAAGCACGGTGCCAGGATATGGAGATAATCATTTGGGCTGACTATGGGGGAGGGAGACAGGAGCTTAAGGAGTGTTAAAGTACTTTGGTCAAGAAAAAATAGACAGAATTTAATGTTCAAGGCAGTAATGCAGCCATGTTTCTTTTTTCTTTTTTTTTTCTTTTTCCATTTTTTGCTTGCTACCCTCATCTGCTCCATAGAAACTGAGGGTCCATACCAAGCAAACCCCTTCTCTCTCTTTCAGCATAATTTTTTTTCCAATTGTGCCTAACTTTCTGTGTTTCAAGAGGGCAAAATGCCCAGTGTAACACCCAGCCAACAGTGGAACACTTTATGTGGGGAAAATCTTCTCCTAATCTTCTCCCAAACATGCACTACTCATTTAATCATGCCCTATATGCCTGGGATTTGATGATCATAATCATCACTTTCTTTATACTTATCCACTAATATCAGTAGTCATCCCAGAATAAATCAGTTCTTGCAAGACTGCAGTGTCCGTTTTTTTCACTTAATCTTCTGCAGCAGTTGAAATTGCACATTGCAGCAAATATACTCGAATGTGCTACAAAAAGTCATTGGGACACTGGGCTCTCTTTTCTGCTATAACAGGTATTTCAAACAGGAAGAGAAAAAGAAGCAATATCCCTATGACCTCATGTCACTGCATTATCCAGGGCCCATTTCCTGGTATTTCTAATTATGGATTCACCTCCACCAATTATGCAAGAGAAGTTGTTAATAATAGCCAACATAGACTATTCAAGCTGTTCTGTCATTTAGGTCTGCCCTAAGCAGGTCTAGATGACAATAATCCCTGTAGACCTTAATGAAGGTCCCCAAATTTGAGAACAAATGTATGGTAAAACAGTATAATTATGGTTCTACCTACCTCTAAGTCTTTATAGTAAGACCCCTACCTATAACCCTTTGGGGGTGGAGTGTTAGCAGAATTTATCTTCTGCTTCCTTCTCAATCTCCGGGAGAGATGTCCTTAAAAAGTCAGTTGTGCAATATATAATCTATTATACACAGACAACCTGAGTAACCTGTATTTTAATACAGGTCTTTAGTTTTTGCCTCCTTGAACACTGGTTTCAGTGAAGTGTGCTCTGCTGATAGGCACCAGGCTTCATCTTTCAGTGCCCTTAAGGTACAAACTTCTGCCCCTGTGTTGAGTTCTGTAAAATCTTCTCCCCCTCTTCCCAAGTTGTATAGAAAAGAAACTACAGAAACCAGTTTGTGTTTGTAGAACTCAAAGGAGAAGAAAAAAGCAAGACAAGATGCACAACAAACTCCATTTCCAAATAGCATCCTGGAAATTACAACTGCAAGAAAAAGTAATTTTCTTCACTGGCAACTGCAATGACAGCAGAGACAATAACATGAGCTACTCTACTTTTGAAAACAAAGTATATGCCAACAGCATGAAATACTATAAAAGAAATAATAGCCAAGTGTGCCTAGGTTTCTCTGCAAAGCTGTGTAATCATTTAGAGTCTAAGACATGGTGAGTTTAAACCATAAATGCGTATATAATACAAATAAAAAACACTTAAAAACATTGCAAACAAGAATACAGGAACATGTCTTACCTTCGACCCAATAAGAGTATATAGCCACTGGATAGTTTCATTATGATTTATTACTCCGTTCATACCATCAACATACAGCATGATTTGGCCCATAGCTATTGTAAAGAAAAGAGATAAAGAAAATATAATCAGACCTGGTGAATAGTCTTAATGGTGCTAATTAGCAGTTACAATGTACTGTAAGCAGCAGTTTTCCAGAGACACAGGGAGCTGAACTAACAACACAAGATTTTGGGCAGGATTCTGCTGGACAACATCCCTGGGTAACTGCAGTAACCTTTCTGAGTTCTTCAGGATGAGGTAAGTGCAAATTATTCAATGGCAAGCAAAGGCATTTGCTCTTTTCTAAAAGACACTAGACACTAGAGTGTATTTTCCTCAAACTCTGAAAATTGCCTGCTGCACAGAGGTCACTATCATTCCTATTAAAACAGTTCCAACATGTACAACTTGTACATACTGTGAGCCAATACATTTCACCTTTGTTTCAGCACTATGTAAAGTTTGGAATCAGCATATTTGGAGTAAGTTGTTTCAGTGAATTTCAGTAACATGAAACTAAAATAGAGAAATGAACACAAACAAGTATAGCAAATTTCCACCAGGGCACCAGTCTCCTGCAAAAAATCGTCTTTTGCACTTCAGTGAGAAAATAAAATGTGAACAATAAAACATCTTCATTTATTCTAAAGTGCTTACAATAACATTTTAAAACATGTTAGTAAAATATTTCATAGCCATAACTCCATAGTTTGCAATTCTGCTAATATGAGACTTTCTAAAGACAACAGCTATCAAATCCTTTTTGACTGATAAGGAAAGACATTTTTCATAAGGATTATGAAAAGGAGATTAGCAAAATTCATCTCCCATCTTCAGAACTTTCCCTGTTAGATCTTCTACTTTATAGCAGGAGATCAAAGCATAGTAAAATGAAAAACACATCATTGATGTAACACCTTTCAGCATGGCCCGTTGGCATAACAGCTTAATTATATAAAACACAGCCTGACATGTCACAAGTATACCACTATACAGAGGGGACCCATAGGGTAAGGAAAATGTTGATGCTATTAATCTTCCAAACACATTCCAAACATTTGCTAACTTCTACATAGGTTGTGCAAAGTGCACTTGTGTTTTTTAACTCCAGGATTTTTTTTTCCAAAGAAATGAATGCTGACAAGCACTTATGTTGAGCCCTATAGCCAGGCAGCTAGATTTCACTTTTAACCTCAGTTAAGTCTCCTTCTTTTCTCTTTGCTCTACAGTGTCTCCTTATAGCTCAAAAAAAAAAAAAAAAAATCCTCTAATTGACTTAGAGGATTATTTATTTACGTTCCCTTTATTCTTTTACATTTATTCTGTTGCAGCAAGCTAGAAGCAAAGTCCCCCTATACGGTCAATGAAGACAGACAAAAAGGAGGGAATGCTATATCAAGAAGATAGCTACTATCTTAGGGAGGCTGAACGTCTCTCCCCAGGAAGCAATCACTCACCAGGCTCCTAACAGCACATGGCTCATCTGCATCAAATTAGGCAGGACAGACACAGGCCTGAGTGTTAAGGTAAAATCAGTGATGCAGCCAGTCAGTGAGAAGAGATAAGAGTTACCCTGGCTGTATAAATGGCTTCTTTATAGCATTTCCTTGCAAGAATAAGAAAGAGGAGAATGTTGCTCTCCACCAGTAATCAGAGAAAGTTTTTAATTCTTGTTTTTACTTCCTTTCAATACTAAAGAGATCTGGCCTTTGATCAGGATGAGATCAAGCCATGATAAAGTCACCCAAGCACTCTTTGCTGCAAATTCTTTGATGGAGGTGAAGGAATTTAAGTGGAATTTGAAACAAATGTGAAACAAATTTTACTCTTGGCACATGCTTTCCAAATTAATACAAAAATCAAAGCAGCAAGGAGTCTACTTCTAAAGGAAAAATATGCACAAAATAGAAAACTACTCCATTCCTTATGTTTAAGAATAGTGAGCCTGGATGCTTACATGAGATCTGGGCTACATTTGAGCTTCTTAAAGGTGACTCTTTATAACAACAGTAGGTAAATGGCAGACCGGAGATTACTGATATCACTAATCTTGTCCCCCTCTCCCAATCCTTCCTGCTTTTTCTATTGCTATTAGATGCTATCCCAAGTATCTGATATTATCTGCATCTTTACAGCAATGCGATTATTCTCTTGGAACTTGGTGGAGGATTACTTGGAATTACATGAAAGAAACTACTACTGCCATGTAAAATAGCACTCTATAACAAGTTTTACATAATGCCATGGAATATTTTATGCAAAAGAGACATTTACCACAGAGCCACACTGTCCACATACAGTTCATGACTAGACTAATTATCTGCCACACTTAGAGATACCAGTTGCTATCAAACCTTGGAACAGGGCTTCATATTGTTATTTCTGTCTTCGTGGTCAAAAATGAATGGAAGACACGATTGGGTTGAGTGGAAATCAGATTTATTTAGAAGGAAGAATAAGTATGCAGAAAGTTGCTATATAATAAACTATTAGCAAAAGAACTGAATTCCATGAGAAGAGTTCAAGGAAAGTGTTATTTTTTCAATTTATGTCCAATATCTGCACTTAGGAAGAGGTGCTATCTAGCAACCACACAATACTGGAGAAAAAGAGATCTTGAAAACACCAGCATAGGGGAAAGGCTGATGGAGCTGGTGGGCTTTCAGGCCCACCTGAGATTCCTCAGTCTGACCTAGTGGGACATACCAGTGTTATACCACATGGAGACAAATGGCAGACCAGTCACAGGGCCCTACATGCTGTTTTATCTTCTCTGTAGCTTTTCTATATCTAGCCTACCTCTTAGCCCATGACCCTATTCTGCCAAAAAGGCTATAGTTAGAGTGCAAACTCTGTGTACTCCCAACATGTGCATGTCTATATGAACATATACACACAAACACCATGCAGCTACTCAGTAAGAAAGAGCAGGCTAATTTAGATTAGATGCAATCTAAAGTTGCTCTAAAAGCCTACCTCATTCAAAATCATTGAAGTAGCTATTTGCATGTGTCATCAACCAAATTCTTTTCCTCACTGGAAAATAAGGCAGCGATTTAATCCATTTAATCACATCTCTTGGCTAACCGGAATTCTCATTGGAAGTATATCAGTAACCTACTTGCATTAGGAAAGCTTGTTATTGTGCAAGAGGGGGTTGGGAAAGGGAGGTTAAATATGGAGCAGACTTGATTTGGAATGCCTTTGTTCCCAGCACCCTTGCCGAACGCTTAATCTTACGTGAAAGCAGGTTGTGACTTTACCAATAGCTGTTTCCAAGGGGAACATTGCTGCATTTCTTAGGATAGGCCTAGGTTAGAAAAAGGCAGGTCTGCCAGAAACTTCACAGATTGCTGTGGTTTTAAGAAAACCTCTTAAAACCTGTCAGTCTTGGCACTGGCACGCTCTTGGGCTTTCTTTTTTAATGTTGAATTAATGAGACCAAAAGAGGAAAAACGCTAGCTCATACCATCATCGTCCTGAATATAATTTTAAACAAAAATCTTCAATTTTCCCACCCAGATCTTCATACTTTTCAAAGTTATTTCCTGCCCACACACCTGCATCTCTTATCTTCTCTATCCACTTTGCTACCACAAGATACCTTATTATAAACATACCTTATTATAAACTATAACTATTTGCACATTCATGAGTCAAATGCCAATAAGAGAATCCTGTCCTTCATTGTGTGAAGAGTTGGTAAGATGTTCACTTTATTGTCACCACTGTAAAAAAAATAGTCTCCTTGGAGCACAGTAAACACAGAAGAAAACACCTTTCTCCATCATTTAATGAGATATGAAGGGTCTGTCTCACTGCCTTCACTCCATTTGGAGTACAGGACACCAAAAGGGCCTACTCTAACAAACACCACCTCCTGATCAAGGATAAAATTTCAGCATCTCTCTAGTGAAGGACAACGTAAAGGAGATAATATGGCTATCTACTATTACATTATGAAGATGATTATGAAGGAAAAATACCTCAGAATTTATTTCTACATGTTTCTGCACTAGAGAGAGGCAAGAATACAGCTCTAAAGCGGGACTAACTTAAACAAACGTGAAATCTATAGTTTGGCCCAGACACTGCATGTCAGGAGGATCTAGTTTTAATGCTAACACATTTCAAAGACAGTGCTTACACACTACACCATCAAGCAATTTGAAAATGAACAGAAACACACTAAGAGTTCCTGCTTCCAAGAGGTGCTTCAGATAAAACAGATAACCTGATCTCTCTACTCCTCCTGAAAACAATCTGATTAAGCAGCAATGTGCCAATGAGGAAAACTCATTCTACAAGGCTAGAATCACCTACATTTTTTAGGAATTTTCTTTTGCATTGCTACTACTGATATGATTACTTTTCATTTCAGTATAAAAATGTGCTATATGTACACTTAATTCCCATTTCTTTACTCCTGCCAAAGATACCAGTAACGCCATGCAGGAAATTAGAAAACAATTTTATTTTTGTCCACCAATGAATGGCTATATTGCTTATCAGAATTTCTTTAAACCCCATCTCTTCATCTAATCCTCCCTTTTTGCTTCTGTCCATTGATTCTATCTTTTATCACAGACATCAACGGTTGAAAAATGCTAAGAAATTCATTTTCAGAATTTTATTAATAATCAGTTACTTGACTAAGACTTGAATTTCTTCACAAAAAAAAAAAAAAAAAACCCAGGTTGCAAACTAGCACTGCATGGTGTTTCACACAGACGTACATATCTTGCATTGTTAATGTAAAGCAGAAGGTTTTACGCCAGCTGATCCTGATAACAGTCCAGCTTAGCCTTACATAATAAGGCTCAAAAGGACATGGAAACTTGGAAACTCCAGCCTTCTAGTTTCAGATCCAATATCTTATTCAGTGGTTAGATATTTTCAGAGTTTACAGGGATAGTTTTTTGTTTTTTTAACCACAGATTTTTTTTCTTTCATTTTTGATAGCAAACCGTACAAAAATACAGTAAAGCTCTATTTCTAGGCTGCAAATGAGTGACAAGAGTGACAATCAGAATTTCCCTCTGGGTTAGGGGCT